AATAAGGCAGGTGAAGGTTGAAGAGGTAACCCTAGGGCCCTAGATCTAGCTCTCTAGATAAGATAAAAATAAAGATAAAAATACGAACGGTTTTAGCAGCAGGTAACGCAGGTGCCAATACAATTTCGTCAGTTCAAAAAATGTATCAAACAAGCTATTGAATCCAAGCACGTGCTGTCGACGGGAAAATGAAAACAAAACAACACACCTTTTTTGTCCCTCACGTAAACGCACAAGAGGTACAGGAAGTAGGAAGTTTTTAGTTTCGATTTTAGATAGTAAGTAGTAGTTCCGGGGCATAGTTCTTCATTGTCTATATTACAATGAAAAGATTATTTTCCTTTTTCTTCAATACAATGCTATTAACTTTATTAAATATTGAATGTAAAATAGTTTTTCTACATAATGTTGCAAATTTTTAAATATATTTATGTGGTATCTCATTGACTGTGAAATTTACTTTTCACTTGGCTAAATGCTCCCCTAATGCTAGTATAACCTTTCACCTCTGATCTATAAACTTGAAAGAAATGGCGGCTTATTCGGTGCCTGCTGGTGTTTGCACCAATTACTTCAATATTGACGATATTTTAGCGAGCCAAGAGAAAGTTCCTTGTGTTTTTAACGCTAAAGTTGCGGCACTGGGTACGTATTTTTTTCTGATTTTGGCTTTCCAATGTGTTGATGCATACTCTCTAGATCTAGAATCTAGATCTGGACATAAGACATAAAATTGATAAATAAATAAGATGTGAGAAGTTTCTTGTTTGGGTTTGGATGATCACTAACTAATTGGTGATTTTGTAATTTCGTTCGCTAAAGTCAAGAGTAGGGGGGTTTCAGGGGGGCTTGCCCCCCTGACCTAATAAAAAAAAATACGAAGGTCGGGGGGGGGGGGGGGTTCCCTGAATTTTATCCTAATTTGATGTTTTGCATCCCTGCTCTTTGTGTAGCCTAATTCAAATAGTGTTTGGTCTTCAAGACCAAGACTTCTGGATTTCTTCTCTGGATGTAAACAAATGGATCGTGGACTTTAACGAACGGAACTACAAGATCACCCATTAATTAATTGTTGTGAATTCATTGTTATTAAATAAACATTGAGAACTGAGAAAATACAGGTGATACAGTGGGCGTGGGCCTGTGTAGAATTCGGGTTCAACGAAGTCGTCGGGCCTGACCTTCAATTTCGTTGAATCCGAGTGTCCTTTGCAGCAAATATGAGGGTTTTGTGTAAGCATGAAGTGGTCAATGCGCCGGTCAATTGATCGCAGATCGGAAGCTATTCTCTGGCGTCACGCGGTATGGCGGTTCTAGAAGAAGGCCACAAACGCACACAAACTCAAGCAGACTGACACGCGCACACTTGAGCTGGGTGAATGCTTATCACGCTGGGCCCGAATTCAACAGGATGATGCACGGCGCGCGTGCACTGAGCCAGGGGTCAGACTGACGAAGGGCCAGAACGAAGGCGAGGTGCCGAAATAGGCTTATCTTATCAGGCGACATAAACCCAGCCCCCGCAGGACGAGGGTTAATCTAGATCTAGAAAATCTAGATAGATCTACATTCCTACACTTAAAAAGTGTCAAAATGATGACATTTATGTGAGGCATTGTGGTGGAATTGTCCCTACTATAACCGATTGGGCTCCAATGACGTCTTGGTATAAATTGCCAATAACTTTTAGGAGGGGAGGGGGGGCTACACCCTCAAAGTCCCGATTCGGCTCAAAGTCATAGAATTTGAGTTGTAGACATACAGAGCATGTTGTCACCACCATATCGTCATAAAGTCAATATTTTATTTTTCTTTATCGGCCGTTTTCTCGAAACGCAATTTTTCTCTATAATTTTTTTAATAACTCCACTACTTTTAATCCAATCTTCATGAAATTTTCACAGAATGAAGAGAAGATGTAATACTAGAAATTCTTCTGTTGAATTTTTTATATGGAATAGTTTTTTTGTTGATAGTGTCTGGAGTGTGAATTTTCATGAATTTTTTGCAAACTTGATATTACCTAAGGCAAAAAAATTCAATAAAAATTGTCTAATTCGTTTTGGAAAAAATCAACCGACAAATTTTTAGATTCAATGTTTGCTAACATGTGTGCAAAAAAAGAAATCAATTTCCATTAACGATAAGTGCGGTATTCATTACGTAAGACATGTCAACAAAATCCAATATGGCCGCCGTATCCATAGAAACGAAATTTTTTCTCATATTTGATTGCGGATTTTAAGACTCCTTACTATGCTTATTATATGTGAAATATGGCAAAATTTGGTCCGCAAATAAGCGAGATAGCCTTCAGATGTAGGCCCCCCCGCCCCTTAATAGAGACAAAGAGTAGGGAAAAAACGGGGATTTAAAAAATCCCTGTTATTACTGGGCCTGTTATACATGGTTTCCACTGAAATAACAATGGTCGTAACCTGATTAAGACCAAGCTTGCACGATAGGTCCCATGCACCATACTTTTTGGCAAAAGTAAAAGCTATACTATACTGTCCCAAAGAGTAATTATAATTAGTCTTTAGTTATATGGTTGTCAATATTTCTTGCAAGATTCTAATACTTACTATTATATTATATTGTCATGGCCTTTGTTTTGTTACATTTTAATTTTAACTTTTTGTCCGACAGTGTTACAGATTATATTTTTCTTTTTTCAATAAAATGTGATTATTTTGTTTCAGGATATCTGGACCAGAGCACCACTGATGTTGACCTCAATGTTGGTACCAAGCTGGAGTTACCATTCTGGCTAGCTCGATTTCTTCAGAAAGGTGCTCGGAACATTGTCACCGTGGATACTCCCAAGACCTACAAAGAGGGCTACAGGAACATATTCACCGCAGACCCCAATGTAGTCGACCTCCATAGACTTGGTCCATTCTTTTACTTGTTTGGGGGCAAACTGCTGACTTTGCAGCTACCTGATGCAGAAGAAATTGCTGATGTTTTGCTTAAAGTAAGTGTTTTAATGGAATTGTTTAGTTTTTTGGTGTTGCTGAAGGGTGAACATATTGGATGATAGCTCATGACCTTCGTAGTCATAGACACCCATTTTATCTTTGAATTTGTATGCTTTCAACTTTGTTTTCCACTCTCATTGCTGCTGTTGTTGAGTGGATCATGTAAAACTCTTTTTAATGAGACCCAAACAAGGGGAAAGAATCATGTAGAGAAAGAAACTACTTTTTAAAACAAACTAGCAGAGTTTTTATGTCAATGCAAAATGGTGGACTGTTTTGGATTCCTAATAGGCAGAGATGGATGGAGCCCAATGATTATTCTTGTCGAATCATTATTTTTATTGTCTGAAACATAAAAACTTGTTTGAAGAACTTTGTATCTTTCACTTTCTTTTGCTTCTCCGCATGTCTGTAGATAGGCCACTTTGTGTTTTCTTGAGTACGGTACCACTATTTTAGTTTTATTCTAACCTTCCAAATGTCTACAGCCAATTTAAGTTTTGTTTTGTGATGCAGCGGAAAATTTAATTAGCTGTGATTTGAGTCACTATTTTCATTTGTTTTAAATCCTTCACGAATGAGCTCAACTTCGTAATTCTACTTTCTGAGGGTATTTATAGGCTTTACTTGCTTGGTTTACCTGTTCTCAAGCATTTTTTAACATAATATGGTGAATATTGTCTGTGTTGCAAGCAATCCACTTAAGGTTTTTTAGTATGATTTGTGATTTATTGAAAAGATAACAGAAAACTTAAACTATTACTCTACTATTGTTTCTTTCAGTCTCTTGTAAATGAACAATGCCATTTATTTTTACTTGGCTCTGTGGGTGTCGGTACTTCCAAGAAAAGTTTTGAAAAGTCTGTACTGTACACTGGCATGTTTTTCAATATAACGTCTGAACCACTTCATGTTATAAACATCAGTTTTATTCAACACTGGTACTAGTGGTACAGTAGTGATTGAACCCAGACTATAGAGGTACATTGTGATTGTCTGATTGGATTGGATACCTTAATGGATTGTGACATCTGAAATACTTTTTAATTGGGCCATTTGAACTTTTTTTTTAAAATCATTCAATCCGACAAAAGGTCACAAAAACTGCTTGTGGGAAAATGTGAAAAATTACTTTGTAAGCTATGGAATTTCATCACATGTCCTTGATTCACTGTTTCACAATGGCAGCTGCATGCAGTGACTTATTAACAACCCACCGTAATTTGGAAATCAAGGGATATAGTGACGTATTGATCCTAATGTTGTCCAGTCTATTGAATTACAAAGTCTTCTCTTTGTTGAATTTTTTTAAAATAATGGTGTTTGTGGACTTTTGTAGCGCTATAGAGTGCTAATTCTTTACATGTTGTCAATACTCTTTCAGTTGCACTTCTTTACTTATAAGCTATGTTATTCTTTGTTTTGCTTTTTCAGACATTTCAGGGAAGGTTCCGAAAAATTATGGATGGCTCTCAGAATGCTTTGCATGCAGACCTTACAAGTCAAACCAGCGTGCTGGATGATCAGGAACGCCATTTATTTGCAGCGGGTCAAGACAGCTTGCATGGCTTCCACAGGTGGGAGAAGAGGGAGACGGAAAAATTGTCCACCTCTGTCATGGTGGCCAACCACAGAAAGAGGAAGAGGATCGGCGCGATGCCAACTGCTTCATGATTGCTGTGATTTATTCTTACCCTGTTCTTGATGAAATTACATCTTTCAATTCTTGTGAGAAAGTGAGATGTACACTCATTAGACAGCTTCTATTTAAGTTGTATGTCGACAGTGAAAGTTGCAAACTGTCTAAGTCCTGAAACACTAATTTTGAAATAAACACAAAAAAACTGTTTAAATGTTATTTTTACCCGCATATTATAAAGTTGAGAGTTATTAGAGCTGCGTCTTTAAAATATTTTTAGTTAAATGAATAATTTTAACCAATGTTCCAAGATTTTGTCAATAACCAGTGTAGAAATGCGATTAATGGATTTCTATTTTGGGAGAGGATGGTCCTACGTTATGGTGGTTTAGCGTCTAGTCACTTTCCTGTGGCGATGGAGGTCCAAGGTTTAAATCTTTGACATCTGGATTGTACTATTGAGTCACAAAGCAAACAAAAAAGGGACTTATAAGGCGCAGATATAGACCACAATATAACCACGCTCACGGTGCTTTACAATTTCATTTTACTCCCCTGGCCAACAACAACACTGTATACATTGAAGAAGACCATAACAGTCTGTTAGCTTGTTGCTTTCTATAAAGTATTAATTTTACTTTACTTTACATCATGTGTTAGACTGTTGAACTAACAATGACTACATGATAGTTGTGGGTGACATACATGGGATACACAAAAGCAATAAGTCTGTATTAACCCTTAAAACCCTATACTGCTGGTAACCGCTGACGCCGTATTTTCCTATATCGCTGGTAACCGCTGGTCAACTTTATCGTTTAATACCGGATGCTAGAAACAAAGGATGTAACTCCAGATGACTCTTACACAAGAAGAAAATACCAATAATGTAATTAGGGCAGTTCTACTCCGAAAGTTAGGAAATTTTGCGAGTTTTTAAGAAAAATTTGTGACTTTCGCTGCCAGGCCCTACAGGCCGCAAATTTTTTACATTTTTTATCCTGAACCAGACCTCAATAATGGTCTCCCAGGTGGATAAATCGATAAATATGACCACTGAAGACGATTGCAATGTTTCACATAACATCGATGATGATTTTGACGATAGTGGAATTAGCAGGGGATCCCCACTAGAGCTACCAGAGGCTAGATCTACGGCTGGGTCTGATGATGCTTTGACTGAAGTGGAGTTAGGGGTCACACTCAATTTCAATTGGTTATTGAGTCCTGAAATCGAAATAGAACATGCTTGCTTTGTGGCTCTATGATGAAAAATGTAGAGAAAAAAAAAAAATGTTACTATTTTTAGACTTACACGGTTTGCGACTTTCACCGTCAATATAATTTAGATAATGGCTTTTTCCCTTCTTTATCCTTGCCATATTTTCCTGGGTGTATGCCTATCTGGCACTATGGCATTTGATTACTCATTGTAAACTATGTTTGGTGTTCAAGAGTCTTACATCAATTTGGTTGAGGGGGGAGGGGTATTTGTGTGTCAATGATATTAACAATACAATAGGCTCTTATGGACTCCTTGAGGGCCTGAATGGTTATTCTTATTAAAAAAAGAGGTTTTCAATAGGATCAACTGTTACCTTTCAATTAAATCATGGCAACTGTTCATTAGTAGTAGGAGATAATTGTCATGAACCAATAATGAGGGTGTCCTTATCATACAGACCAATTGATGCAATGTCCATTTGACAAGTGTTCAGTGGCAGGTCAAAGTTCATGGCTGGACCCAATGAACTGAATCAAAGTATGTTCCACTTTTGTTGTTTATGCCTTAGCGTTTTTCTCATAGTTGATCTGTCTTTGTAGTACCTTGACAACTGAACTTATTGTTTCCATATCACGCTGACGCAATCTAAATTGTTAATTATTAAGAGAGAGCTATGCTAGATGTAAAGTTACCTGGCGGTCCGATGAGTCGGGTCTGTCAGGGGAGCCCCGTCCAAGATAAGTGTTGCCTTGTCGTGGTCCTGAGTCCGACTGAATACCTCAGTGAGTCTCTCTGATGATCTCCGCATATTTCCCGCGGAA